AAGTTAGGCCAAGGGTCAGATAAAACAAAACAAAATAAATTGTAGGTTTTTTGTTTGTTTTGAAGCAAGGTTTCTCTGTGGAATAGTCCTGGCTGTCCTGGAACTCACAGAGATCCGCCTGCCTCTGCCTCCCGAGTGCTGGGACTAAAGGCCTGTGCCACCACTGCCTGGCTCAAAATACAATTGTTAAGAAGGAAAACAAACTCGGGAAACCACAGGTTCCTTCCTCCCCCCCACCCCTCCTGCCTTTCCTTGTCGCTTCTTTCCCTTATTTCCCGCCTCTCTCTACTCTCCTGTCCTCTCTCACAGCGGAGAGCAGGGCTCAACTCACCAGGAAGGGGCCGTGCTCTGTAAGGAACCCATCTAGGGAGCTGCAGCCGGGACCCCCGTTGAGCCAAAGCACTACTGGGCTGTTCTTCGGGTCTTTCTGCGACTCCACAAACCTAGGAAGGATACAGGGCAGGATTGATGCAAGTAAGAGACCCATCCGCCCGCCCAGCTATCAAGCCCTCCTCGGCAGGCAGGGCCGCACACCAGTAATGGAAGTGCTTCGAATCCGAGGCTCTGAGGTAGCCGGAGTACTGCTTGAAACCGGGCTGTTTGGCCAGGCCGGGGAGGCAATCAATTTCATCCTGGTCCGGAGCCGCTTCGCCCCGGGACGCCCAGGACACAAGCAGCAGCAAGAACAGTGGAGATAGTGCGGCTCGGAGCATCTGCGGGAGGAAGTATCGGCAGAGGATGTTTACCAGTCCCCCAGCTCCTTTGAGCTTCGGTGCAGCAGTCCCTAGGGAGGAGCTGGCGCTCATCTCCCGGAGAAGCACCCACCCGGGTCCAGCTCCCGGCCGCAGAGCCTCGATCGCCGCCCATCGGTCCGGGAATCTCCTTACCTCTGCTTCCTTGCGTCCTTGCTCTCCAGGAGGCGCCGGTGAATTGGAAGTCATGTGTAGTCCTAGTCACGTGAACGCCCGCATCACGTGAGAGCTTGCTCATGTCCATTTTTTTTTTTCTTGTCTGCCGGCCTGAGGGTCGGGAGCGGTCAGTTACCTGGTCAAAGTACACAGCTTCTAGGGTTATTAGCCAGGGTGCCAGAGATCAGATGATCTTGGTGTTGACAAGGTTTTCCAGACTCCTAGGGACATGTTACTGGCGAGATGCCGAGAAAGCGGCGCTAGGACCCCCAGGCAGAGCCGGGGTTAGGTAGGCAAGGGGGAAATGCCTTACATGGTCCCCCTGCGGTCACCATCTGAGCCCGCTGCCCAAAATAGCCCTTGGCACGAGCGGGCTTGCCTCATGGCAGGGAGATGGCTGCTGCCTCCGAACCCGTAGGGTTGGGTGACTCACGGGGTCCTGCGCGCCCGGAGCCCCCTCCCACCCGCTTCCATCAAGTTCACGGAGCCAACATCCGCGTGGACCCGTCGGGAACGCGAGCCACACGCGTGGAGAGCTTCGCCCACGGTGTGTGCTTCAGTCGCGAGCCCCTAGTCCCGGGCCAGGTATTCCTAGTGGAGATAGAAGAAAAAGAGCTGGGCTGGTGCGGGCATCTGCGTCTTGGCCTGACCACTCTGGACCCGGCCAGCCTGGCCGCTGTGCCCGAGTTTTCACTGCCTGACCTGGTCAGCCTTGGTCACAGCTGGGTCTTCGCTATCACACGCCACCACAACCGCGTGCCCCGGGAGGGTCAAGCATATTCAGAGTCAGCGGCCCCCAGCCGCCCCCAAGCCCTCTTGGTTGAACCCTATCTGCGCATCGAGCAGTTCCGAATACCCCGGGACCGCCTGGTGGGCCGCAGCCGGCCAGGGCTCTATAGCCACCTCTTGGATCAGCTCTATGAACAAAACGTGCTGCCTCCTACAGCGCGCCGTAGCCGCCTGGGTGTTCTCTTCTGCCCGCGTGAGGATGGGACCGCCGACATGCACATCATCATCAACGGGGAAGACATGGGTCCCAGTGCCCGGGGGCTGCCAGCTGCCCAGCCCCTCTACGCTGTGGTAGATGTGTTTGCCTCCACCAAGAGTGTGCGCCTGGTCCAACTGGAGTATGGCTGTAGGTATTCCACCTTACCTGGCTTAGTGTAGGGACAGGCACCTGCTAGGACACCACGGCCAGCTGGCAAGGCCTGAGATTGTGCAGCACTAGTTTTGAAGATGGAGAATCTGGTCTCGCCTAGGGTATCCATCTGCTTGTGGTTTTGCACACATTGCTTCTTGGCCGTGGGCCTGCACCAGTATACTCAGCTGCTTGCCTAAGACCCCACAGGTCCCTTTTAGCTTGGACGATGTTTCAATAGGAGGATAGGGATTTTGGGTTTGTTTTTGTCTTGGAAACCAAGTCAGGGTCTCATGCATGCTAGACAAGCACTCTTGCTATGCTGCACATCCCAACCCCTAAGACAGGGATTCTAAAACCAATTTTAGACCTGAGGCTTCTTGAGAAATAAGTGAACTTATTTGTTTTTGGTTTTCTGAGACCCACTCACTCTGTACCTCAGGCTGGTCTGGAACTTGGGCGTTCAGGCAGGCCTCAGACTTTCAGACACCCCTTTCTGCCGCAGCCTGCTGAGGGTTGGGGCCACCACATTCAGCTGTGAGTTTGTGTGTCTTGATTAGGAAAATGCTCACAGATTTGGGCCTCTTGGCTTAGAGCCATCATGGACCTCAGATTGAGAACTTCTAAATTCTGAAGTCTGGTTCATTGTAGCCCAATAAACCTTTCACTTAAACCTCTGGTCACGTGTCTGAATGTGTTGCGCTGGAACCTGCAATGTACTGGGCTGTGGTTGCACAGGCAAATCAGACATGAAGCTGAGTAAAGGGTGAAGGAATCAGACTCTGTTGCAATAGAAGCAGGTGTGTAGACAAAGGCTCAGGAAGAGGTGTATGTCAACTATCTATACAAGCAGCCCCGCCAGGCAGGCTGAGCCTGAGAGCAGAAAGTAATTCCCAGGTTGATGGCAAATAAGGAACCAAGATTTAGATCTCCTCAGCCCTGTTGTCACCTCCCCCAGATGAGTTTGTCTCTGACAGTCCTCTCTCCACAGTGCCGTCCCTGCAAACTCTGTGCCGTCTAGTGATCCAGAAGAGTGTGGTGCACAGGCTGGCCATTGATGGGCTCCACCTGCCCAAAGGACTGAAGGACTTCTGCAAGTATGAGTGAAGGGCTGTGGCCACCGGAGCAGAGCCACAAAAGTGCCATCCTCCTCCCTCCAGAGCAGTGGCTGATCCGAAACTGGCCACATGGTTAATGATCAGGGTCAGAAATAAATAGCTGATGTTGATGTTCTGAGCACGGGAGGGTCTCCTTGTCTCTGAAGCCCTGGGGCAGCCACTTCTAGAGTCACCGGGCCAGAGAGTGTGTTTAGAATCTGTCTAGATCAGGGCTCCATAGTGTGTAGGCTCCTTTGAATTATCTAGGACACTTGGTGAGTGCCAATGCGCGCACATGCAAACACACACACACACATACACATACACACACACACACAAACACATACACACACACACAGCTTCCATATTCTTCTTTGGTTTGTGGTTTGTCAGGGAATTAAACCCAGCCACCATGGCTGCCAGCCCCCTTTTTAGTTATCATTTAGGACAGAGTCTAATTGCCCATGCTGGCCTTAAACTTGTGATCCCTCTGCCTCAGCTTCCCAGGTAGCCGTTTCTAGGCATTTCCCATCAGGCCTGACTATGTTGTCTTCAGGAACATAAAAATATTGATACATAGGTCTGTCTCTGGCATTCTGTGATTGATCTAAGATGGAGTAGGACCCTAGTGTTATTCAAAGTCTCCCAGAGCCTGTGCTGGCCACCAGTGAGTGACCTGAACCAACCAAGTCATTTCCCAGGTGAAAACAAGCCAACAGGTGAGAATATATTTGTGTAAGGACACATAGCAAATGCTTCTTATTTTATTTATTTGTTTATTGATTTTAGAGGCAGGGTTTCTCTTTGTAGCCCTTGCTGTCCTGAAACTTGCTCTGTAAACCAGGCTGGTCTTGAGTTCAGAGATCCACTTGCCTCTGCCTCCTGAGCACTGGGATTAAAAGTGTGAGCCGCTATGCCTGGCTCTAGCAAATGATTTTAAACAACAACAACAACAACAACAACAACAAGAAGAGGGTCTGGCTGGCGAGATGGCTCAGTGATTAAGAGCACTGACTGCTCTTCCGGAGGTCCCAAGTTCCATTCCCAGCACCCACATGGTGGCTCCCAACCATCTATAATGGGATCTGATGCCCTCTTCTGTCACGCAGGCACACATGCAAATAGAGCTCTCATATACATAAAAAGACCATGAAAAAAAGTCAAGAGGGCCACCTGTACTCCCAAGAGTTTGCCTTCAAACCGGTCATAAAGTGGAGAATGACCTTGGGCTTCTGATTCTCCTGCCTCTCCCAGGAGATCTGAATGCTGAGATCACAGGCCTGTGCCCCATGCTTGTTTTGTGTGGTAGCGGAAGATTGAATGAATACTCACACTGTAAGGCACAAAAGCACTGGCCTCATTTATTTCTATCTCTGATCGTTAGCTCCACAGGGACACTCTTATCTCACCCTCACAACTCCTAGGAAGGCAGGGGACAGTATCACCCCTATTTTGCTGATGAGGATTTTTTTGTTTTGTTTTTCAAGGCAAGGTTTCTCTGTGTAACAGTCCTGGCTGTCTTGGAACTTGCTTTGTAGACCAGACTGACCGCTAATTCACTGAGATCCACCTGTCTCTGCCTCCCTGGGATTAAAGGCGTGCGCCATCACCTCCCGGCTACAGATGAGGATACTGAGTAACAAAACTGTGTAGGTAAAGCCAAGTGTGGTGGCACACACCTATATTCCCAACACCTAGAAGGCTGAGACAGGAAGATGAAGGATTTGAGGTCAGTCACACAAAAGCAAAAACAGGCTGAGCATGGTGGTTCACGCCTTTGATCCCAGCAAACAAGCAGGAGACAGGTCTGGCACAGGAAGTAGACCATAGGAGTCCAGGCCAGCCAGGGCTGTTGTAGTTTGATCCTGTCTCAAAAAACAAACAATAAAAACCAAATAGAAACCAAACAGCTAGACTGTGGTTCTGAGGCAGTGCCCAGTTCTCGCATCTGCAAAGCCCTGGCTTCCGTCCCCACACCAGAAGAGAGCAAAACAAAACCACCCGTCCAAGTTGATCCTGACAAAGATAATGAATGAAGAGTCTGGAACATCCTGATCCTGGTCCAGTGTCCCCTGGTCCATCTAACCCCCTCCCATTGTGACATACATGTTCTATAATGAACAGGTTAGTATTGTGAGGTAGGGTCCGGGTGTAGAGGGGACTATGAGGTGACACTGTAGAAAACTGGAGAGTCAGGCAGGAGAACTAGGGCAGTTCCCCCACAAATAGGGACTTTGGGGCAGCCATGTCCTACTTCATGTCTCCACAAACTCATCTGGGGCTTCTGTCTTCTGGCCAAGGTGAGAGGGGGGTCCTGGAACTGGAGGGGACACCACAGCTTCCCATGTGAAGTTGCTTCCTGGCTTTGGGGAGGAGGTTCTGCTGGACTTTTTGGGCTGACTGTGGAATCAGTTTTCTTGGAAGAGAAGATATCCAAAAGGCCTTGCCAATTACTAATTACCCACTTGCTCACTTATTTAACAAGCACTTCCCCATCACCTGCAGAACTGGGACTGGCTGGAGCTAGGGGTATGAGTAATGCTTACATTCCATTCCCAACCTCTGACAATCCTCTTGGGCTGGTTCTGATTGCCCCTGCTCCCAGGCCCTGCCCCTCAGGGCCGCTTCCTCCGAGAGACCAAGAATAACATTCCATCTCATTCCTGTCTCTGCAGGTGGGGCTGCTGCTTCGGGTCCGTCCCTTGGTCTCTATAATTCTGCAGAGCCAGTGGTGGTGGCGTCTGGTGGATTAGGTCCACTCAGCCAGAAAGCTGAGCAGGTGGTACCTGCTGCCCAGGTCTGGGGCCCTACCCTGGCAGTGCCTGAAGCCAGGGGCTGCTCTGGGGGTGCTAGCTGGGAGACACCGCGGAAAGAACACAACCGATACTGCCCCAAATTGCCCCCCATGAGGCAGCTGGAGAGCCTGAGCTGGGCAGACCCCTGCTCCCGAAGCAGAGCTCCCCACCTGGGTGGCCCTAGCAGGCCCCGGCCCCTGCTGCTGTGTGGGCTGTCACCAGGGGTTCTGACGATGTCCTCCGAGGCAGGTGGGAAGGAGGCTGGCTCCCAACCTGACATCTGCATCCTTACCCTAGCCATGATGATCGCGGGCATCCCCACCGTGCCTGTTCCAGGCCTGCGGGAAGAGGACCTGATCCGGGCGGCTCAAGCCTTCATGATGGCACATCCAGAGCCAGAGGGAGCTGTGGAGGGGGTGCAGTGGAGGAGGCACATGCCCACGTGGCCTCTGGACAGATGCCTCTAGTGAGATCCAGGAGGGACTCCTGCTTGTAGCCAGATGAAATAGCATGAGATGCATAGGGCGGCTTCTCCGTATGGTTTTTGGGCAGATAAGGTTGGGGCTGGCTATGGCAGGGATGGGAAGAGGGTATGGGTAACTGAGCCATCCTGATAAATTGCAATGCTTTGTTGGGACCCCTCCCCCCCCCCGCATGAGATACCACCGAGATAGATCTGACCAGGTTAAATGAAGTTACCTAGGTAGGAAGCCCTATTTAGAGAGTAGATGCTTATTTTATATTGAGGAACCTGAGAAATTTTTGTCTAAAGTTCTAGACATTGTGGATTTTCCTCTTGCCTTGTGTCCCAGCTTTCTGAAGAAAGATGGGGTTGTAGGCAAATGGTGGAAACACGTGGCTGAGCAAACCCTATGAATCCAGACAAACAAACCCATTCCTCTTTAATATGGCCCACCCTGTGAGGATGCCCAATTTACAGATAAATGGAGGCTTAGAGAGCTGCCTGCTGGGAGTCTCACAGCTAGCAAAGCAGAACCAGACCTAAAAACTACAGAAGGTAAAAAGAGAATACAGGAACACCAGCACACAGCCCGGCCCTGTGCACATAGCCCCGCCCTGTGGGCACAGCCCCCACACAGCCCCACCTTGCCAGTTCTCCTCCTTTCGCCCCTCTCAAGGACCATGTATAAAGCAGACCACAGGACAAGTGTGGGGATACAACATTCACTTTATTGATCCCAGGGTGGGTCGGGAAAAACTGGGAAGCCTGGTTGACTCACCGTAGCAGCCTCTTCCTTTGTGGGAAGGTTCCAGAGCTGGCATCAGGTGAGCCATCTCATGACTGGGGCAGTAGTTACCGTAGTTACCAACACTGAGTCTTCAACCTCATCACCCCTCACCCCCATCTCTCTCAAGGAATCCCTTGTTTACAGAAGTTTCTTGAGCTATATTTTTCTTTGTGAAAAAGTTGTCAATCTGAAGCCAGAATGCACAACAAAGCCCATATTCGACCGTCAAAGCCCACAAATATTTACTACTAACCCCCTAACAGAAAACATTTTTTCTTCTTTTGTTTTTTGTTGTTGTTGTTTTGTTTTGTTTTTTGAGACAGGGTTTCTCTCTGTAGTTTTGGAGCCTGTCCTAGAACTTGCTCTGCAGACCAAGCTGGCCTTGAGCTCATGGAGATCCGCCTGCCTCTGCCTCCTGAATGCTGGGATTAAAGGCGTGTGCCACGAGCCGCCCAGCCAAAAAACATTTTCTGACAGCTGTTTTATGGAGCTTGCCGCATTCTAGATCGAAGACTGGAGTAGAACAGAGGACTTCCGGAGGAAGCACAGCTGTGTGCAGAGGGGAGGATCTGAAGGTACATATGTACATGAACACTTCAGGGCAGCAACATGACCAAAAGTCAGGCCTGGTGACACAGGCCTGGAATCCCATTCACTCAGGAGGCTCATAAGGTCAAAGCCAGCCTGTCCACAGAGTGAGTTCACGACTAGGCTGGGCAACCTTGTGAAGTATCTCAAAATAAAAAGAGGCAGTGCTCAGCCCTTGGGAGACAGAGGATCAGGAGGAGTTCAAGACCAGTCTCAGCTACATACTGAGCTTCAGGCCAGCCTAGGCAACCTAGTGAGGCTGGCTGCCTCAGAATAAGAAATAGAGGCCGTGGTGGTGTCTGCCTCACATACGTGCTGCTCTGGGTTCAGTGCCCAGGATTGGGCATGTCTGTGTGATCAGAGCTGGACCTGCTCGTAAGGGCCGATCCAGCTGTCGGCGAGTTCTCGAAGGGTGCTGTAGCGACGCTCGAATTCCTCCTGGCTACAGTGCTGCAAGAGCCGGCCTACCTCCTCAGTGAGGAGAGTCACGGCCAGGTGTTTATCCAGGGCGGCACTCCACTTGCTTCCCAGGATGCTGTCTAGACTGGTGGCACAGCCTGAGGTCCAGGGAGCCTGCAGCATGTCAGGCTGGAGCACCTGGTGGCGGGCACTGAGCATGGCTAGGATGTGGCGGCAGGGCAGGTGGAAGGCTTGATTAAAGTAGCAGCTGCAGCTGGCTGGGGACTGGAGCTGTACGTTGTGCGTATCCTCCAGAATCTGTATGTTCACTTTTTCTGAGCCAGAGCCAATGAGGTGCATGGATTTTTGGACCACAGCGAGCTCACCTAGGCAGAGCTGGGCGGCTGGCCCTGTGCAGATGGCATTGAGGGAGTGTTGGATACGGGCTTCCACCAATTGCTCTGTGCTGGGGCTTTCAGGGCTCGTGTCTGGAGGAGCGGGATTGTCTTCGGGAGTCACAGTCAGGCTGAAGCTTGCATTGTCAGAAGGGTTCTGCTGCATGTATCGGAACACAGAGGCCATGCCTTGTTTCTCAAATGGGGTAGTACCAAAGAACTGACTGAGGATGTGGGCTGTGACCTCCAGGCTCTGGAAGTATCGGTTGCTCTGGGCTCGGCTTCTCCAGCGGTGGGCCAGCCAGATGCGGTCATTGAGCAGCCAGTGTGAGTGAAGCTCAGGTAGCCTGGTGGAGGGGATGCAGTCGCTCAGGAGCGTGTACAGCTTCCTCAGGTTGCCAGCTGTGGCTGAGCACATTGTGCTCTGCAGGGAGGAGAGAAGCACACTTTGTACCGGCTGCTCTAGGGAGAGCTGATAGAATTTACCCTGGAGGAACTTACAAATGTGGAAGGCTGAGAGCAAGACCTCAGCGGTGGGGAACTCCATGGTCAAGGTGGGCAGCAGGAGGAAGTGGGGATCCACCAGGATGGTGCAGACTCGTTCCCAGGCTGGGTTAAACTTTTTGAACACCTGGAACATCTGGGCCAGGCCTTTGGCATCTTCATTGGTAGGGATAGCAAAGTACACTACTCGGGCAAGAGGACCCTCAAGCTGTACCCGGGGTCCATCTACCAGGAAGGTGTATAACACCTTGCCTCTTGGGTTATAGGTCCGGTGTATAAATAAGACCTCGGGGAAATGAGCAAAGAGGTCTTGCATGAAGCAGCTTTGGTAGCTGAAGGCATCTAGCTGAGGAGTCTTGCTAACCTGGTGCAGCAGCGTTGGTGGGCTCGAGTCCTCAACAAGATGTCCGTTCATCATTGTCAGGGCCATGGAAGAGCAGGGAGGGCTCTAAGGTCCACACTAGGATGCTTCCTCTGCAGGACTGCCGTCAGGAAAACATTACATTTCTCAAGTGTCACGGAATTTGATGCCTGAAGTTAGATTGCAGTTTTAGATACTGTTCCAGATGGACCTATGGAAAGGAAGAAACACTTAAAACAGGGAGGACCTGGCACCTCGATTATTTATACGGACAATAGTTCAATATCTATCAAACATTTACTATGTATCTTCTAGGGGCAGATATACAACTAGCCCGTGAAAGTACATTGGATAATGGTTATAAAAACCACAAAAATGAGAAACAGGTCAGAGAGTATGTTGGGGTTGGCAGGATACATTAGCTAAAGTGGAAAGGCCTCTCTAGGGGAGGTTACCCTGGATATAAGATGCAAATAACAAGCCAGCCATAGAAACATATGGTTCTCAGGGACCCAAATAGGCACAAAGCCAGGTTTAATGGTGCACACTTGTGATCCAAGCTACCTAAAAGGCGGAGGCAGAAGGATCACCAGACTAAAGTCTACTGGACCAGTGTAAGACCAGTGTAGGCAATTTAGGGAGAACCTGTCTCAAAACACAAAATCCTAACTACACACACACACCAAAACCCTAACCTAACCCAAAGGACTGGGTGTGGTAACACACACCTGTAATCCCAGCACTGGAGAGGTGGAGGGAGCCAGATCACCTCAAGGTCATCTTGAACTCTGAGGTCCTGGTCTTAAGAACTCTCAGAGCTGAGGGATATAGCACATTGACTGTACAGGGGATCGAAAAAACATAGCCTTCATTATTTTTCTACACAATGACACTCCTGTGTAGGCCTGGCTTGCTCCTAACCCACAGCAATCCTCTCACTTAAGCTTTCCAAGAGCTGGGATTCAGGTATGTATCGCCACATACATTTTTAAAAATATCATTCTGGATATTTGTATAGCCTTTATGTTCACAAATTTTTGTAAATTCTTACAAACTGTTTCTTTTGGTCCTGATATATACCAGAAAAAAAAAATCGCTCAAAATTTTCTGTGAAATATTGGGCTAGTCAGTGACCCTCTCTGAAACTGAATTCCTGTCGCTGTAAACCGGGGCCAACAGTTGTGTGTAGCGTCTCCTGTTTCTACGTATATCCCGATTGGCTGCAATGCTTTATGCAAATATTTCCTGTTTGGTTCCATTTACTGTCCCCATTCCGCAGATGAAAGTCTCAGTCAGGTTCAAAGCAGATGAGAGACTGAGGTTCAAAGACGTAGGTCCACCATTAAGAGAACTCGAAGCTGGAGTCTTTGGCTCCAGATTCTGATGCATCCTATAGGGTCCGAAAATGTGAACCGGGAAGGGAATGCGGCCTCTGACCTCACCTGAGCCCGGGTGTGGGACGCGGAAGGCTGAGGTTCGCTTTCAAGCCCAGCGGAGCCGAAATCCACCTCCCACTGGTGGGAGCTGTATGCCCTGAACGCTGCAACCCGGCTCCACACCTCCCCCGCTGAAACCGCTCACCCACCGGCAGACACGGCAGCCATTTCTCCCATTGGGTCCGCCTCCAATTGACTGACGTCCAGGATCGCCAACCACCACTCCAGTTTCTCAATGACTCAGGCCAAAGGCCTAAGGAGTTCGCTGTTGAACTTGGGAGCTACGGACCAATCCTGGACTGGCAGCTCCGGGGCGGGCGCTGTTGCCAAGGCTACGGGGGCTCGGCCGGAGGTAACCAATGAGAACCTGTGAAAGGATGCTCGCGCTGGGAACCCGAGACCCGAGGGCGGAGCTTCCCTTCGGTCTAACAAGGTTGAAAAGACTGCACCTTTCGAAGGCCATAATGGAAAATAAAGAGCAGTGTTTTATAAGGGAACCTTTTGTTTATTGAGTACGGAGCTGTGAAGTTTGGAAGGGACAGACGGGAAAGGTGCAAAGGTCGTACTTCGTTCTCTGCCTTGTAGAGAAACCGAGGCCTGTAATTCCAGCTACTCAGGGGCTGAGGTAGAAGGATAGAGTTTGAAGCTAAAGCAATCTAGTAAAACCGAGTCTTAAAACCAAAAACTGAGTGTGGTGGTACATTTAATCCCAGCGCTCGGGAGGCAGAAGCCAGCCTAGTCTACATATTAGGTTCCAGGCTAGGCCTCTCTCAAAAATAAAATAAATTAGGAATTTGCCCACAGCGTTCCAAAAATGGCTCGTAGTAAAATCTAGGATTTGGGTCTCCTCCCTCCCGGTCCTCTTGCCCCTTTCCTGACTAGAATAAACAAGGCACCCTAACGTCAATGCTCCAGGCTTAGTTGGTAGGAAGAGGGCAAAGTGGTATTTACTACACTACTAACTGATCTGAAGCACCAGGTTCTTTCTATACGGCACCACAGCCCGTTAGACAATACTCAAGTTTCCTTTAAAATGACGTTTGAGGCCAGCCTGGGTTATATGAGACCCTGTCTCAAAAACCACAAAAGTGAAACAAAAACAAAAACAACTTTATTAACGCGAGTAAAAATACATAACAGTATTTTCTAAAGAGCAGCGACAGTCAAGGGTCACCCTCCTCCCCTCCGTCCCTGAAAACAAAGCTGCTTTCCAGGCTCACTTTGTTTTATTCTCCTGGGCAAGGGCTCATCTCTGTAGGGTCAATGCAATTTGACCTCTGGGGCTGGGGAGGAAGGGGCATGACCTTTCAGTATGGAATAACTTTGGCTTTGAACAATGAATGAGCTGTCTATAGAATGCCAAAGGTAGGGTTGAAAGGGGCAGGCTCAGAGGACTGTCACAGTGGGGTCCCTATCCCCCTACTTTTAAGATCTTCTTAGCCCTTACCTTGGAAGACATTGGTTAAAATACTGACCCACAGTGTGACCCGCCCACTTTGAACTCTCAAACTTCCAAGGTTTTGACACGCAGTGCACTAGTACAAACGCTTCAGTCATGAACCATGGCTTCAGCGAGAGGAAGGCTGTCTCCTTCCTCTAGCTTCCCCCAGAGGAAAGGGAGGCACCCCACATCTTTGAAATCATCTGGCTGCTGACTGGACTCAGGTAGCTGATAGGGGTCGGCCCAGATGTCCACAATCTTGCGCAGGGTGGAACAGCGCTCCTCCAGCTCTGGCCCCTCAGTCTGCATCAGCAGGTTTGCCAGCTCCCTGCTTAGGTCCTGAATCATGTGGTTCTGACCTTGCTTTTCAGGCTGATCTGTGTTTGGGATTATTCCACGATCTTGAAGCTCCCCATTGGGTCCAAGGAGGTGCTGGTACTTCTTCTGCCACCGGCAGCACACCATGGCTTCCCCTACTGGCTGCTGGCTGGTATGCAACAGAGCCAAGATGTGCCGACACGGCAGATGGTAACACCGCTGAAAGGAGCAGCTGCAGCTGCAGCCGTCTTTGCTCACCTGGTGTGAGTCTTCCAGGAGCTTCACGGCGACTGAGGAGCCGACCTCGTCCACCAGGTGAGTAGAGTTCCGCACCACCTCCCACTCGTTGTGGCAGAGCTTGTAGGCCAGCTCAGAGCCACTCTGCTGCAAAATGTCCAGCATGCCACCCTTGCAGGACTGATCCTGGGGCGGTGGTGACTGGGACTGCTCTGAGTCTGGCTTTGTCTCGTCCACAGGGAGCCTGGTGACATCCCCACCACAAATTCGAAAAGACTTCTTGGGCCTTGGTGGTGTGCTTGGGAGCTGAGTTCTTTTTAACTTGGGGGAATTCGTGGGCAAGCTCTTCAGGCCTTTGGTGTTAAAGAAGTCTATGTAATCCACAAAGTGAAGGATGCAGTCCAGTAGGGACCGCTGCTCCCGGAAGAGGCTGGACACTTTGCTGGTGACTATGTCTAGGCTGTCCATGTAGGTGTTACATGCATGCAGGCCCTTCCTCACATGCATGTACCACAGCAGTTCACAGGAGAACCAATGGGCCTGGAGGAACCTGAAGAGTTCCTCATCCAGCAGGGCCTGGGTCATCTGACAGAGCTTTTTCAGGCTTGCATCAGAAGAGACAAATACGGCTTCCCGAAGAGCTTCCTTCATGAGCCTTTTAAAGGATGCATTTGCAGCGCTCTGATGCAACTTCTTCTCTAGGAGCCGGGTCGTGTGATAAATAGAAAGGAGGATGCGGGCCGCGGGGAAGATCTCCTGAAGAATAGCTCGGTGAGGGAATGAAGGATCCACAAAGACCACTTTGACCTTGGGCCAATCAGAGTTGAATTCTGTAAAGATATTGAGCATCTTGGCCACAGAGGGGGCTGTCTCGGCCTTGAGCACAGCAAAATGTACTACTCGACTCTCTCGCTCCTTGTTCTCCACCAAGAAAGCATACAGAACATGGCCCTGGCTATTCTCTACCCGGTGCAACAAGAGATTCTCTGGGAATCGGGTGAACAAGTCACTCATCTTGCTGCTCTGGAAGCTGAGCCGATCCAGGTCTTGGCTGGTGCCCACGCTGAAGGAGGCCATCGAGCCCTCGTCTACCGTAAGAAAGTTTTTCATCACTTTTGCTATCTTGGCCAGGTCAGAAGGACTGATGGCCCCCTGCTCTGGATCTGAGGGCAGCTGTGTCTTATCTAGGCAGAAAGACGGTGGTTCTACTGGGAGCTTCTCTGCTGCATCAAGGTCTTTCTTGATGCTGAGCTGCACCGGCTGGAGTTTATGCAGACACACTGCCTTCTGGAGTTTGCTAGCAGGGGCTCCTCCAGCAGCATAAGAATCAACATGTATGTGCTGGGTATTCAATTCACTGATAAACAGTCTATCTAGGCTCTCGCTGTACTGCAGGAGCAAGTACGCTGGGCACCTGTCCACCTTCCGTGTTCTCTTCCTGTTTGACTGCGTCCGAATACAGACAAATTTCACCTGCACATATCTAGGGAAGGCAGAGGTGACAGTGAGAAAGGTGCTGGCTGCCGCTCTCTTAAAAGACCGCGTAGCCATTCATATTGACCAATATACTCCCTAGACCACAAGGGAGTGTAGAATGTAAGCAAGAAAAATTTATAGTAACTCTCTAGCCCCAACGTTTCCAGCTCCCTCCCTCAAGACTATATTACAACACCCCTCACTTTCCTCCACACAGTTCTAAGGCCAATTTATTTGTGTTTTTTTTTAGCTTGGGGGCTGGCATGGAACTCATGATATAGTCCAGGTTGGCCTTGAACTTGCTGCAACCTTCCAATGAGCTGTGGTTACAGAGGTGAGCTCTTTACTCTGCCTGGCTTAAAGGGCCGATATTTTTCTCCATTCTGTCTGCTACCATTGTGGCTGCCACCAATCCAATCTGAGGTGGGATGTAAGGAAAAGCTGACATAGCAACAGAGTGCCTAGCTAGCTTCTCATTTAAATGACCCCCAGGCCTGTATGTAATCCTAGCAACTGGGAGCCTATGGCAGGAAGGCTGGAAGCTCCAGGGCAGCCTGGGCTATGTGGCAAGGCCTTGTCCTAAAGTCCTTTTTATTCATTTGGGACATTCCACCTCTCCTCCTCGACAGCAACATTCTCAGGCCTACTGCCTGTCCACTGAGCTCTCCAGAGTCTCCAGGAAGAGCATGTGCCATGGCTTTTCTGTAGAAGAGAAAATTTCTGGCTGTTCCTCTAAAGAGGAAGATTCATACCCTGAGTTTATATTTTGGTCTGTGACGGAGACTGAACCATCTAAGAGTCTCATCCCTGCAGCCTTAGCACTCTGGGTGGGAGTGGATGATATTCCAAGGGATGGTTATCAAATTATTTGCTATTTCCATCCAACTCCTAGGTTTGAGGCCCAATCAAATCCTCCCTTCTCTCCTCAGCCTTTACGGATGACCCCGAGCTACAGTAATTAATCTTGAATCTGAATTTACTGCATTCAGCTAAAAGGTCTTACAGAGCTCTAGGTATCAATACCACTGGAGGCGAGAGGGGGCACAATGGAGGTCAAGTGGAGTTGAGTCCTTTGAGTCCTGGCTGTCACTAGGAATCTGTTTAATTGGGCAAGTCACTTCACCTCTGTGGATACAGTCTGCCCATTATAAAATGAGACAACCTCATTAGGGTTATCATAAAGACTAAA